TCAAAAATTAAAACTTTTTGTTGAACTATTAATTTTTTTTTTCATTATTCAGGATGGTAAAATGGTAAAATACTTGATATTTTTATTATTGGAGAATGTCGAGTGATAAAATAAAAACTTGAAAATGACATGATTCAGTTCAAATGTTTCCTCCCGCACTTTGAAGCTTGAGCATACGACATATGCATGTATATTAGTTTAACACATTTAGTATGTAAAATCAGTATTTTTATACAAAATGCGAGAATTCGATTTCGATTCGAGCCTGTCGAGCATATTACCATTGCGGTATACGGCAATCGAATCTTTTCTTCGAAAAGTCTAGTTCTTCACTTAATTTTGTCCATTTATCTTTTTCAGTATAATACTGGTACCGAATTTAAATTACTGGTACAGTGACTTGCCAGTAATCCCCGAATTAGTTAGCCCTGATTTACACATTAGATAAATGGTTCTTCATGGACTGAAAGTCAGACGCTCCTCCAATATTCATAGGATAAGATATAAAGTAGCTTAATGTCTAATAAGACCGAGTAAGATCGAAGTGTCGAGGAACGATATTAATCTTTATAACGCCTTACAGCCAGTCGTCTGTTACGTATTTAATCTATAAAACGGTCTACGTTGCAGCATATGTCAATATAATGGCCCACCATTCGCAGCTCATTTCTAATATCATTATTATAGCTCCGAACATTAATTACTTCATAAACATGAGAGGATAATAGAATTGCTCATTCACCAGAGTTTGCTAGTATTCCTGATTAAACTAAAATTGTGCTTGGATTTGAATTGACTACCTTTCCTAACAATTTATAGAAATATGAAAATTAATGAAAAAAATTAAATTGGGATCAAACGAGTGGGTAAATCCTTAGATAGTTTTACTATCTTACCATATATTTTAACTTTTTGTTAAAATAAAATCGATTGCAAATTTTGTTTATTACAAGAGGATACTGTGTGTCGTATCATTTACATAAAAATATTGAAGTCAAATATTTCAATTTGAAAGTTTATTAACTAGGTTAGGGCGGGGCACTCAGGTCCATTTTGATTTTGAGCAATTGTATTGTAGAAACCAATCCAATTATATCATATCAAATAACACATATCAAACAACTATCTGACCATATGCAGTAAAACTCCCAGCTAATTCATTTTTGTAAAAATATGTTTTTTGCTGATTTGTCATATGGTTCTTTTTACCTCTATCAGGTGGGGTAGAATGGGACAGCCAAGATAATCAGTAAAATATCTTATTTTTAATTTTAAAGAGATTTTACGAAATAATAGCTACATTATTCCATTTCTGCAAAATATGTATTTTATGGGTACTTAAATAACCTTGATCATATTTTATCAGAATATTTCAGAATTAGTATTTTGTCAGAAATATTCATCGGCAGAGTTGGAATAACTATTAATTTATTTCTTATAAAATTGTTTTTTGTAACTGGATTCACTTTTTTTTATTGTTCACAACTTGGCCAGGGTAAAGGTTCAGTAAGTCATTTTTATCGCACCCCAAATGCAAGCTGTTATAGAGGAAATATAAAATCATCTGTTGAATCTAAATTAACATTAACATTGCATCTTATAAAATAATTAAATAACATATACTTAAAAAATATATTAAGATCTTGTGAACTAAACAATAGTGTTCCCAACCAAAAAAAAACTTTTGTTATAGATTTTCAAACTTTGTCATTTATCTCCTGATAACGACGTTTTTTCAATGCGATGGCTAGGATCTTCTTCCTTCTACTTTCGAATATTGTTGTTAAAATATTGCTAACTATACTTGAAAAATTGGTGGTGGACCTGTGAATTTTTAAGCTCTTCACTACCCTTTCTCTCAAAAACCAATTCATTATAAATTCATTTTGTGTGCACCATCTTAAGATCATCATAAACCATAAATCAAAACCTTATTCATTAGAACAAATTATTCAACTGTAAAAACCAATTCAATTATTATGTACATCAACTCATATTCAGCACATAAAAGTTTTATGCTTTATTTTTATTGGTTTTAAAAACGACGCTTGTGACACAAGTAGGAAATCAATATGACAACAATAGTGCTTTAAATTGTAAAAATAATAGCATGAATTGCTTGAATACCTTATATATATATATAAAATTCTTCTGTAAGGGTGTAAGTCGAGATACTCCTCTTAAACGATTATTCGAATTTTGATAAATCTTTCTGAAGTTTGTTAAGGGAATTTATTAGGATGCAACTAATTATAAAAATATAGTAATATTGTAGAAATAAATGGAAAAAATTGCGAAAAACGACACGTTATTGCTTGACATCGAAAATTGTAGTGTATAATTTTTATTATAAAATTTTAAAAAACATATTTTTATATTAGTTAAAGGTTTATCATTTTATTTAAAGCAGTTCTACATTTAATATCACTCAAATTTTGGGGTAAATAGTAATTCAAAAAACAATAATTATTATTTTTAACTAAACCATAAATATTAGTATAGGATATTAAAAAATTGTAGACGTGGGTTCAGGACAATTTCTGACGGGTCATCAAGTAAATAAAATATATAAAAAATATTTTAATATCTCAAAATTTTTATAGAATATTCTAAAAAAAAATATAATAATATTTCATGAAAGTAAAATAAAATTTGAAAGAATAAATGCCTTTAATGTACTTTTCGCTCTGCCGAGACCATTATGTTGTCGTCTTTTGTGGGTGCCATTGACATCGGTCCGGCAAAGCAAATTGCGAATGAAACGAGAGAAGCAATACGCTCGTGTACATCATATTGAGTTAATTAATTTCTTGCCTCAAAAGCCCTCCTTAATAAACAAAGTATCGCTTTGTGTCTGTTAATCGCCAAATAACTAGAATCGACTTTCGTGGGCAAATAATCACTTGAAATGTAACTCACTAAGTACCTACGAATACATACGATATAGTCGACTATAACAGAGTATATCGATTAAATAAAAATAATATTACGAATAAATTGTTTGAGAGGCAATTAATATTGTTAGACAATTATAAAAGATAAACATCTCAAGAAGGCTTATGGAAACACAGCTAAGATCTTATAGCAATTTATTGCTGCGGACAGCAGAATGTATAAAAAGGGTTGGTCAAAAAATGATCCGTCGGCTACATAAGGCATTATTCATCAAAATTTATGCCAATCATTTTTTTTTATTTAATAAAATATATATTTATACATACTTCTCCTCACCATCAGTCAGGCCCATTGTCTGGAAGAAGATGTCAATGTAAATATTATTACAAATAATTTGTATAGAGTAGAGCAGGGCAATAAAGGTCCGCGGGTAGAAGGTCGATATTTCAAAAACCAGTAAAGTTAAGAATTTTTTAACAACAATATTTGAAAGGAGAGGAAAATAGATGTATAACCAGCCAAAATTCATACCAAAAGTATTTTATTTCATTGTTAGTTTTTTTTTGTTTATGAGCACTGTTGTTTAGTTTATGAGACCTCAATATAATTTTTAAGTACACATTATTTAATTGTTCTGTAAAATGTATTCTTAATTAACTTCTCGTAGGGCAAGTTATAGTAAAAAATATAGTAGTTATAGTAATAAATCTCAAAAATCTAATTTTTTCAGAGTAATTTTTTTTCAAAAATGTTAATCTTTTTAAAAAAAAATAATTTTTGGTACGGGAAGTCGCAAATAAATCGAAAATAAATCGAAAATGAAATTTTTTATTTATCTTTACGTTTCAGAGGTTTCTGAATATTTTGGCATACCTTAGAAAAAATGTATGTATGTGTGTGTGTGTGCGTGAATGTGTGTGTGTTCGGATACAACTTTTCGTCGACGATTTCGGGAACACGGATGAAGCGATTTAAATAATTCAAAAAACATTTGATTCGTATTGATAAGCCGTTCCGAAGACATGGGGCAAAAAGTGCCAAAAACGGTAATTCAGTTTTTCAGAGAACGGAGCGTCTAATTAGAATAATTCAAAACACATTTTACTTGTATTAACAAGATGAAGAACTGATCACATTTTCATGAAGGTAGGTCTAGCGGTTTCGGAGATCTAGTAAAAAAGGTAAAAAAAAATGCCATTTGGCGGTCAAAAATGATCATTAGACATATGCACATAAAATTATCAGATAGTTTATAGAAATTTTAATAATAACTATAAATTTTATTTACATTCCTATGGGTTCCGTACCAATGTTTATCCGATAGGCGGCTACGCGGCGCTTACGCGCCTCAATATTTCGTCTCTATGCAGTTAAAGCAGTACGATTGCTTTGAAAAAATGTTATAATTTCCAAAATATTTTAAAATAAATTTTTCTCCAAAAAATTTTTTTTTCAAAAAATTGTAAATTTTTGTCAAAAATTTATAGTTTCTCAAAAATCTAATTTTTTCAGAGTAATTTTTTTTCAAAAATGTTAATCTTTTTAAAAAAAAATAATTTTTGGTACGGGAAGTTCCAGCAATTTGCCTTAACGCACGATGCCATGCGCCCCACTAGTTTTAAGTTGGATTCAACAGTTTCTTTATAAAAGCTTACACGTAGGTCGAGTTCAAAGGACCAACTGAACCTTTACTCTGGCAAAAGTTTAACCAATAGAAAAGAGTAAATACAGAAGCAAATTTAATTAATAAAAAATAGTATTACTAGAAATAAATTGAATAATTAGTCAGTCTAACTCTGCAAATTAATATTTCTATCTTAATACCAGATCAAGGTTATATACAGTGTTATCTCTGTAAAAATGCACCCATAAAATTTATATTTTGTATTGGTTAAATAATGCAGCTATTATTTTATAAAATCCAATTGGGTAAAAAGGACCAGGTGACATTTTTTTGAAAAACAGCAAAAACACACTTTTCTACAATGATGAAATAGCTAGGAGTTTTACTGAACATAGTCAAATAGTTGCTATAATTTTTCTAGATAATTTTTCTATTGTTTGTAATATATTGTAATTAAAACAGTTTTAATTATTCCATACAGATGAAGAAGATCTCTTCATGGTTAGCGATTTACTAGTCGGGGGTGACCTAAGATATCATCTTCAACAGCAGGTAATTTTCTTTAAGCTTTGAAATTTTAATTAAAGAATATTACTATTCATATAAAAATGCTAAGAAATTAAATGAAAACAAGAAAAATGACGACACTGTTGATCAAATATGAGTTGTCGAGATGATGTCTCTAGGATGATGAGTACGTAGCGCACTTGCGCTGAAATTATTAAATGAAATGAAAAAAATGGTATAGGCTATAGGGTGAGGTATATATATATATATATATATATATATATATATATATATATATGTTAATATATATTAGAACAGAAAAATATTTTACTGAATCTTTATTTGGCTTGTTTTACAATTAATGGAATTTAATTTTTAATTAAAATGTGTATTTTTACTTTTCTCATTTTTTTTTAATATTTCATCGTTATTTTCGTATTTATAACATATATGTAAGGTAAGGGGCCCAGTTTCTGACCTTTTTAGAGTGACGGTGGAGGTTAAACTATAATAATTAATATAAAACTTAACTTAATGAAGAAAATTATAATTTTATCTATTAGTTTAGGATTTTTAAAATAAAGTAATGTGCATAAAAAAATTATTTGAACTAAATTTATATTTTAAATTGACGTTTTAAAAATTGATATTAAGAGCTCTAGTTTCTGACCCTCAGAATTCTTCGTGTGGCAGTTTCTGACCCTGACCGTAGCCCAATTTCTGACCCTCAAATTTCATCATGACTAGGTTATGAAGTGCTTACTAATTTTAAATAAACTGAAATTATTATTAAAATAAATAAATTAAATATTTATTCTAAAAATATACAGTTTGTTAAAATTTAACGTATAAATAGTTCAAGTCTTGTTATAACATATACATATTATTATTTAAATTCTTGGACTTTTTTATTTTAAGACCTTTTTTTCTCAAGTCTTTTTTTAATTATTTTTCTGCCTTTGACTTTATTTTGGACCTTTTCAGCTTTTTTCAATTCTTTTCTTCTTCTAATTTCATTAATTAATTGTAATTGTATAATTGTATAATAATAAAATATTAGTGAACTAAAACAGTCATAATTTAAGCGTTGATAAAACTGACATTTTTTATTAATAATTTTATCACTTAAAAGATGTATTTACAAGATTTAAATACAATCTTTCATTTATACCAATGAATATAATGTAATTTATCACTTTACTACGAAAAATAGTAAAAAAAATATAAGATAACAATAATATTATTATTTTTACATTTAATGAACAAGTGACCAAAAACATGTGACAGATAACCTAGCTTTTAGAAGGTTAGAATTGCAGGGTCAACAACTGTGACATACACTTAAAATTGAGCCTAGTTATTGACCCTCAAATTTCAGTAATAAAACTAAATTTAATATCTTTTATAAATATTTTAAAATAAATTTTAATTAATTATTGACTTATTTGTATATTTTCAGTTAGATTTTCGTACTTACATCATAATTAGTGCACGAACTCAATTGTCGTAGCTCCTTACATAAACTGTTTAGACTAAAGCTAAAAAATGGCTTCCACAGTCACTTTTGGTTTAAATTTTTTTTTATTTAGTTAATATTTTTTATATTTTTTTAATTGACATTTATGAGGCATAGAATAAATTACTGTCAATTAAGAAAAATTTATTTTCACATTAAATGTATAGTTTTTTAATTAATTCCAAAAAAAGTTGAAAAGGTCAGAAACTGGGCCAGGGTCAATAACTGGGTCTTTTACCTTATAATAATTTATAAAAACTCTATATAACGTAAAAAATTATGGGTATCTACATGGTCTTCGAACATTGAAATGAAATCAACTGACATAACCTAAACAAATTCGATCATTTAAATAAGCCTAAATGATTCCCAAATATTTAATATAAACAAACCTTAATGATAAAAAAAATCAGAATCATATTATTGCCATAAAAAGCTTATAAGTGGAAGTCCCCGAGCGCCGGACACCTAAAGTTATTTATAAATAAATCAAAAAATATTTTACGAAATGTTTATTAAATTATGACTTTTGTTGGATAATACAGTTAGAAATCAAACTAAATTAACAAAAACGCAATCTTTTCTAAACATTAATTAATACAATCAATCAAACTTTGGTAACAAAAATTATGATTTTGCAAAGTGGCACCTAGTACCGGACTTTTTACAATAACCAGCATTGAACACATATGCAGTTTGACGAATATTATTACATATTGCAAAAAAATCACTAATTATTCACCCTTTTGGCTGGGCCACACCGATGCTCGCAGCTGGAGCATTCATCATAAGATTTTCATTCTTTGATTAGAAAATACGAAAAATGGGGGTATGTAGTGACCGTTAGCACTCCAACAGAACAAAATTAAATAATTTGAATAAATTACGTCCATTCTCACAAGAAATATCGACGACTCAATGTCCGGTGCTAAGTGACAGACAATTTCGTTCATTTGATTGTACCTACTAAAATTGTTCAAAATATCTAATAATATTCTTCCATTTTACGGATAACAATCAAGTACTACTTCTATTTTTGAATGCCACTAAAAAATAAATGCATAATTACATTAGAATTTCTTCCATTGATATTTAGGTGACGCCGTGTTTTTGCGCCTAAAACAAAAAAGGGTTGCTCTCGCCATGGCCGTGTGCGTCACAGTTGAATCTTTACGCGTGATCCTGCACCTGTGTGCCGCCCGCGCCCCTTTACTTCTATTTTAAAATAAAAAGATTTATACTCGCTTAAATAATACGGGTTAAATAGAGTGTCCGGCTTTGTGCAGTCCGGCATTACGGGACTTCCGCCTAATTGAATCAATTATATTGATAAAACTTTACAAAAGTTTTAATTTTGTATGTCTTTTGTAAAATTTTACTTACTTAGCTAAATGCTTCTATGTAGCGGTCACAAATATTGTAATTTATAAAAATCGTACAAAATATAACCGGAGTACGACGTAGGCAGTGGTATGGTATAAGCAATCTCGTTGTATTATCTGTTGAACGATAAATTTTATAAATCGTTAGTAAGTTTTTGAAATGAATACTATAGTATATAAGGATCACGTGCATAATTACATTTTTGTTTCTTATATAATATTTAAAAATGCGATTGGTTTAATTTCTGAGTTGCGGTAATTGTAGGCAATAAACTTCAAATAGTTCTCTGTACCAAATCATTCGAAGTTCTTTCTGAACTTCAGAACTGTTTACAAAGTCGTCGGATAAACATAAGAGGATAATAAAATCGCTCATTTACTAGTATTCCTGATTAGTCAATCGTGCCTTGGTTTAATTCGACTACGTTCACTTCAATTTATAGAATAGTAAAAATTCATGAAAAAATTAAATAGTAATTAAACGAGTGTGCAAATCATTAGATAGATTCATTATTTCTTCCATATATTCGAAATATTAGTTAAAATAAAAAGTACTGAACATTTCGTATATGTCGAGGATTCTGTACGTCGTACCATTTACATTACAATATTGTAGTGGAACTTTTTAGTTTCTAATTTTATCAACTGTAATTTTTTTTTCATTTCCATCCAATTATAACTGCCTAGAAGGCATTCAGTAGTTATTATGACTAAAGTGTGGAATAATATCTTAAAATATTACCACTGGGCAGTATGTAAAATATATACAGAAAAATATATACAGAAAAATATATACCTACAAAAAATAATTATAAATCTAAATTGTAATTCTAATGGGTTTAATCTTCTTAATCTTCTAATAGCATTGTATTATAGTGTCCATGTTTTTCGCAAGTTCATTGAGATGTTTTTCCAATCTTTTCTTTTATTTGGATGCGAATTTTTTGATTTCTTCAGCTATTGTGTATATATTGCTGTGTTGATGGATTAGCCAGTTTTGAATGTATTTGGGTATAGTTTTTAAATTTTTTTAAGGCTGAAATCGTTTTTTTATCATGTGATTTTTTCATGTTAGTCTTCTGTCCAAATGAAAACCAAGATATTTTTCGTGTTCAACCTGAAATATATACAGAAAAAATATATACCTACAAAAAATAATTATAAATCTAAATTGTAATTCTAATGGGTTTAATCTTCTTAATCTTCTAATAGCATTGTATTATAGTGTCCATGTTTTTCGCAAGTTCATTGAGATGTTTTTCCAATCTTTTCTTTTATTTGGATGCGAATTTTTTGATTTCTTCAGCTATTGTGTATATATTGCTGTGTTGATGGATTAGCCAGTTTTGAATGTATTTGGGTATAGTTTTTAAATTTTTTTTAAGGCTGAAATCGTTTTTTTATCATGTGATTTTTTCATGTTAGTCTTCTGTCCAAATGAAAACCAAGATATTTTTCGTGTTCAACCTGAGGTAGTCGAATCACATTGATTGTGACGGTTCTTATTGCGAAGGTGATATGTGATGACTTGTTTATTTCTAGTCTCCAAAATTTGTGCCACATTTCAACTAAATCTAGGTATTGTATTCACTGTGATATAAAACCGCAATTATATAAAATATCAGTAAGTGTAAACAATATATAAGGAGATTAAGTTTATCACAAAACGTACTAAAATTATTATAAAACATTTTATTAACTTTCCGCAGAGTAAGTTATAGTAATTCCAAAAAAATCGAAAATGAAAAATCCTATATGTCTTTACGTTTCAAAGGTTTCTGAACATTTTGGCATACCTTTGAAAAAAATGCATGTATGTGTATGTGTAGGTTCGTTTGTGTGTGCGGATACAATTTTGTGTCAGCGATTTCGAGAACACGGATCAACCGATTTGAATTGGCGGAGGCAGGTCCCATGGTTTCGAAAATAAGGGGAAAAAGGTGCTAAAAATAGCAATTCAGTTTTGGAGGGTACGGAGCGTTCGATTCGAATGATTCAACAAATATTTTACTTTTATTGACAAAACGAAGAACTACAAATAAGAACGAAAAAGAATCGAACGAAAAAATGTAAAGACTAGTGGTGCATGGCATCGTGCCTTGAGGCAAAATGCTGGAACTTTCCGTATCAGAATTAAATATTCGAGC